CTTTTATTTCATATAAAATCGGAGCATAAATTAATTATTTTCTTCATCTCTTTTTAGTTTTGAATATTTTTTTATTATTTTGTGATTTTATAAATGACGTGACATATTAATATTTTTAAATTACTTTTCAGTTTCAATTATATACATATGTTATTTTGTTTATCGTACCGGCAACATGTTTAGAATCTTAAATTGACAATTTCATACAATTCGGTTGTAAATAGATATATATATATAATATTTTAGATTTTGATAGTTAATCATATTGTGAATCCATAATTATTATATTTTGTATTTAATATCTCAAATTAATATTGTTAATACCACGGGCGGAGTTACGTTTTGAAGCACATGGGCTGTAGCCTGGGTAAGTTTACTAACAATCCATTTATTTTATATGTATCTTTTGATCTTTTTGTGTTTTAGCCCATTCCACTAAATTTGCTCTAGCCCACACAGCCAGCCCACCTAATTAAATTCAGCCTACACACCTAATTATATTAAATCCAACCCGACATTATAATACATTAAGAGAAAGTTTTGTTTTTAGCCCAATGATCATTCTCACCTCTGACATGAGAGATCAATTTAACATTACAAAATTTACATATTTTATAGCTGTGCAGATTTTGTGGTGCTCTCTTCTTGATTGCTCGGCTCCCTTCTCACGACCTCACCATCTTTTTCTTCTTTCTTTCTTTTTTTTTTTTTTAAAAAAAAATATTGAGGTGAGTTTTTATCCTTTTTCATATATTTTAACATGTTCAATAAATTATTATGTTTAGTAGATTATCATGTTTAATAAATTAGTTATGATCAATAAATTAATCTAGTTTTTATAAGTTACTTATGATCAATAAATAATTTATTTTTTATTTTTTATTTTTAAATTTGTGGGGTTTGAGAAGAGATGTTTTCTCATGAAAATTAAGGTAAAAGCATGATTACAATTTAATATTTTCTTAATGTTATTATTTTCCACTAGTACGTATCCCGTGCAATGCATGGGACAGAGATATTAAATGAGTTATTTCACAGTCTTTTCAGTTTAAGTCTTTTTCAGTTTAAGTCTAAAAAGTAATAGGATTATTATCTATTTTCTACCTCTTTTAATCAACATTAAGCCAAAAAAAACAATAGAGTCATAAGCTTTTTTTTTTCCACATCTTTTAGCCAACGTTGTTTTTTTAGCCAGAACATTAAATATTAGCATGTTATGGCTAACTTGTAAAATAATTAATATATTATCTCACTAAAACATTTATACTAATAAAAATTTAATTTTAGCATATAAATTTATCCATTGATATAATAGAAAGTAACAATTTTATTTATTATGTTCACCATATAATATTTAATTACTATTTTGTATATTATATAATAAAAAAGAATGTTGTTAAATAGTGCAGTAAAATTTTTATAAAATTATATGATTTCTTTTACAATATAGATTTAATATCTTTTTATGATTTGATAATATAACTATAATATATTCTTAATGATATAATTATTTACTTAGTATGGCTAGAATGCTGACAAATAAAAAAAAAAAAAACTATTAGATGCAGCTAATATTCTGCTATAAGATAAGGTTTTCTCGTTATGATGAGGTTTTTATACATCATATTTTTCTACACATCTATTAGATTAAAAATTTAGATGCAGCCATCATTCTGCTATAATTAAGATAAAGGTTTCCTCGGAGCGAGATGCATGTCACATGTGATCTAAACTTTTTGTTTTTTTTTTTAGTTTGTTACTTTTAATTATCACAAATTTGACCGTGTGAATTGGTTTACAACATATTCTACGTTCAATTTTACAACATACTCTGCATTCAATTAAGATTGATTTTCATTTGCTAATGATTTATAAAGTTTGATTATTAATTTGACCAAATATTTTGCTTATTAATTTATAAAGTTTGATTATTATTTTGACCAAACAGGAAAGATGAACTTGTTGGATCAATGTTGTTTATCTAAACAAACATAAAAGTTTTTCATATTATTTTTTAGTCTTTATCAGTTTGTAACGTTTTATCAGTGTATGAAATATTTTCATGATTTTTTTTTTATTCCACGATTTGTTAATTCATTACAGTTTTGAACAATCTATGAAAATTATTAAGCTGCCTTCTGGCAAATATGTATGTGGTTATGTGTTCGTGTATCATAAGTCACAAACATAATGAATAACATTATAAATTATTCATTCAAACTTTTATTCATTACAAATATATTAAAATAATTTATATAACAACCATTAAATACCACTTTTAATATATTTATAAATAAAAAAGTACATAAAATTTCTAGTGTGTTCAAATTTAAATAGTTTTTGATGAGCTCAATTTTAAATCATCCAGACATTTGGTCAAACACATAGGTGTGTTCAAATTTAAATCATTGGCATTTTGTTCGATTGAAATTTAAATCATGTTCAATCATCTATCATGGTACTGTGATGTGTATAATGTATATATATATATTTAGATATATATACAATTTTTTAGCAAATAATATGTGTTTTAAAAAATAATAATAATAATTTCACAAGATTTTAGACGTAAAATCTGATTTTTAATCACAATAGAAAAATTATGGTAAGTTGTATTGAAAATGTGTTATGGGATAAAACAATTAAATAAATAATTAAATAAATTACTTAATAAAAATATAATACATTAATTACCTTTGACTTTTCTTATTACAAATTATAGTAAATAAGATAACTTTTTATATAAGTATAGATTTAATTATTTTTTTATAGAATAGATTCTAAATTCCATATTGTAGAGATTCTAATCGGAAAAAACATCTATTATATATAATAGAAAGTTTTGTTAAGTAAATATTTATAGAGATTCTAATCGGAAAAAAAAAACATCTATTCCATATTTATAGAGATTCTAATCGGAAAAAACATCTATTCCATATTACAATATGTAATTAATGAAAGTTTGTTAAGTTACTAATTTTAGACAATAATTAATGAATTTGGTGGGAAAAGATTACTAAAAGTGAATTAAGTTAATCCTTATTATATATTAATAGATTAAAGAGATGATAAGTGAAGAAAACTAAGAGTTTCTTTGAATGCAATAGAAAAGTACTTTTTTAATTATTTATTGTGTATATATATATATATATATATTTTTTTTTTTCAAAAAATAAATAGATGATAAGTGAAGAAAACTAGAAGTTTCTTTAAATGCAGTAGATAAGTACTTTTTTAATTATTTATTGTGTATATATATATATATATAATTTTTTTATCCTTTTTTTTTTAAAAAAAAATAATTCTAGCCCGGGTAGATTTGATATCCTGGCTCCGCCCCTGACTAATACATTTCCCATGTTTGGAGACCTAACTTACTTTGAAATTTAAGTGGTGACTCGTGATAATAGGGCTTCCTTTTTGCCTTGTTCGACCAAATTCTGACTTATTAAATAAGAATTGGGGAAATAAAAAATCGACACAAAATGTCATTCCTCAAATTTCATTTTTCTCTACATTATCACATTATTATCTACTTTCATATATTAACTATCAAAATTAATACTTTATTACCAACATGGGTTGGCTCAAATAATAAGCAGTTTGATGTCGCTTAAGCAAGGTCTCGGGTTCGACCTCGTACCCTGGTCGACCAACGGATTAGTCGGGGCATAGCTCCGGATACCGTGGCTGGCTACAAAAAAAAAAAAATTAATACTTTATTATTTATATATTTTATTAAATTTAATCATTACATTTTTTTTTAAAAATCAACGACTTTCAATATAGGAAGATGCTCCGGTTCCGTTACAGAACCATTCCGTTACGGTTTGTTGCCATTAAATCAACTATCTCTGACGGTTACATGATGATCTAACAGTTACAAATCTCGACGGAATTGTTCTGTAACGGGACCGTAACATAGGGGTGAGCATAATCGAGTGGAAACCGAAAAACCGCACCGAACCAAGCTATTCGGTGCAGTTTTTGAAGAGTTCTATTATCGGTTTGGGTTTTGGAAACCCAAACCGATAATTTCGATGCGATTCGGTTTTTTGTCCGAATGGTGCAATTTTAACTGAACCGCACCGAATGTTATAAAATGTCACTTTTTTTTTTTAAAAAAAAATATCACCTTAATTTTTAAACTTTTACTTACATTACATTTATTGGTGATTATTTTTTTTAATTTCGGTTAACCGAAAAACCGCACCGAACCGATACGAAATTTTCGGTTCGGTTCGATTAGGTTTCCTTCTATTGCGGTGCGGTTCGGTGAAGAAATTTCAAGAATTCGGTTTTCGGTTTCTTTCAGTACGGTGCAACAATTTTTGACCGAACCGCATCGAAACTCACCCTATCGTAACATTTCCCTTAAATTTATTTTGCCCTACGGTAGCATTTCCCTTAAATTTATTTTACTTTTTTCTTAACAATCAAACTTTTTTTTTGTTTTCACTTTTTATCCTACTTTTCCCAAAAAAATATTCCTAATAAAAGTACATAATTATTATTTTTTTTTTGGTACAGAACCTTTCGGTTTCCGAATCCACAGGGGAACCGACTAATCCGGAATTGAGCCGGGTAGGACCACAAAGGCGGCAAAGCTCTCCCTCAAGAGTTCACATTGCTGCATTCACAGGGCTCAAACACGAGACCACTAGTTAAGCTGGAAGAGACCAAACCATCTCATTCAAGCGGGTAATTACATAATTTAATCGCACACAACGACGGCACACGACCCCGTCTAATTCGGTCCGTTTTCATCCAATCACCTTTTTACAGATCTTCGTCTCACACTTACCTCCATTTGAAAGCACACTCGACTACTGCTACTCATAATCTTTCCATTAACTTCCCTTTTTTCCACCATAAAAATCTCCATTAGAACTCCATTTTCACTGCTACTAAGCTCCACTTTCTACTCTTGAACAGTAGAGGAGCTGCATAGAGTGTCCCGAGCTCTACATTTCTACTGTTTTCTGCAGCAAATCTGAAATATGAAGAACGGGTTTGAAAGGGTTTGGATCCTGTGGGTGTGGACTGCGGCGATGTTGTGGGCGTGCACAGGGGAGGAGTACTTGAGGTACAAGGACCCTAAGCAGCCGGTTAATGCGAGGGTGAAAGATCTTGTTAGTAGGATGACTTTGGAGGAGAAGATTGGTCAGATGGTCCAGATCGATAGGATTGCCGCCACGCCTGATATCATGAAGAATTACTACATTGGTAATGGGCTAGTGATTTGAACTCATGGTGGTTTGTTTTTTGTGGATTTGTTGTGTTTTCTGGTAGGAAGAGGCTGCTAAGCTTGTTATTCTGTTGTTAACTTTTTTGTGTGTTTGTTGATTTGTTTGTTTTTGTGTGCGGTTCTAGTTTCCTAATGATATTCTCATGCTGGGACAGCCATTCCTAAGTTAGTTGAAGTTGCACTGGCAAGCTGCCGGTTTTGATGTCGATCCATTTAGGACTTCAGCTGTAGCATTTGGTTTTGCTGTTTAGTAGTGTAAGTTGAAGATACTGATGTAGCAAACAAATAGCTAAATGGGTAAATATGTAAATGAATTCTTGGCAGAGCACCATTATATTATTAGTTATAATTTTGGAAAGTTGATTCCCCTTGTATAGTTTGGTTAACGAGAAGATGGGATACGTATGGTGCTTAATTTTGGTTTTGAAAGCCTCAAGGGGAGAACCTATTGTATTATGGAGTAATGTTGCAACTGCGGTTGCAACTCAGCAGAAATAGAGCTCTTCGACTTACCAGACTGTAGTAGTATACACAAGCTCATGAATCACATGGTGAAGTACTGGGGTTTTGATTAGGTTATACACTTCCCAGGCATGCATTAGTATGTCATGGCAACTGTTGTTTTAGGAAGGAACATGAGTTTTTTAATATGAATTATTGTGGTAGCAATCGTCTTTTTACTTGCTTTTGAGTGTTGGCTTTTGATGGAGTTTGACGAGCACTGTGTTCAAATATGTTGAGGATTCATAATTGTGAACATCTAGTTTTCATGACTGTGTAGAACACTAGAAGGTTTCAATTTATTAACTTCGTATGTTATTTCATTATAACCACCTTGCCCTCTTATGGGTTTCGGCAGTACAGCATTATGGGCTACTGTAAGCCTCCTCTGCTCTCTACAGTTTCCATCTTGTGTTTTTGCATAATGTTCAAGACTTAAAGTAGTAGTAGTAGTAATAATAATAATAATAATAATAATAATAATAATAATAATAATAATAATAATAATAATAACAATGATAATAATCTATTTGAAATGGAGAATCGTGTCAGTCATAAATTGGTTGAGTTGCCATTTAAGTGAACAAGGATATAACTGAACTTGTCTTTTAGGGCTAACTACCAAATACTGCCCTTGAGTTTTAGCTTAACAAAAGAACCATTGGCACACTCAAGAAAATCTTCTTTTTCTCTCTCCTTCTTTCTTTTATTTTATTTGTATGTTTCTGATATTGCAGGGAGTCTATTAAGTGGTGGTGGAAGTACACCATCTCCAAGAGCTACTGCCACTGATTGGGTTAACATGGTGAATGACTTCCAGAAGGGGTCTCTATCTACACGTCTAGGGATTCCTATGATCTATGGAATTGACGCCGTTCATGGACACAATAATGTTTATAATGCCACCATATTCCCACACAACATTGGCCTCGGTGCCACTAGGTAAAAGTTATCCATTCTTTATGTTCTTGGAATACCAATAAGGCAATAACTAACTCGCTTATGTATATTCCGGCAAACATTTTCTATACTATGATAGTATTGTATTTGTTGGTTGATGAGAGTGTGGTTGCATGTGTGCTTGATGCTTTTTTCACTTTGAAGAATACAGTTTTAAAGTGTTACCATTCTCACTATATATCAAATGCCATTTCTTGGGGTACTTCCCCTTCATGTATGAGTTGTCAATTGCTCATTGAAGGAATGGCCTCTTCACATTAAACTGCTTGTTCTTTTTTAAGTCTGAGTTGCATTATGTGGTTTAGAAGTTCAAATAACAATAATTTTAGAAGATAACTACGTAACTGAATTATCATTCAAGACCACATATATCATCCCTTTTGCGTCTTGGTAATACAGAGGTCCTCTATATATCTGTGTTTCTCTCACAAATACACCTTAATAGTTGTAATTTTGAAATGGAGAAATATGTTTAGGGTATTTTTGTAATTTCAATAGTTAACTTTGTTGTACTGTAAGTAGACTAAATGTGAAGAACAAATTTGCAATCATTTTGTAATAAAAATGGTTTTGAACATCGTAATAATTGATATAATCTTGTATGATAGGGACCCTGAACTTGTGAACAAGATTGGTGATGCGACTGCTACTGAAGTCAGAGCTACTGGAATCCCTTACGTATTTGCTCCTTGCATTGCAGTAAGTCTGACTGGGATATACAATTCTCTTAAAACTTCTGCTTTAACCTGTTTGGTACTTGAGTTTTTGAACGAGTTTTTGACAGTTCATAATTTTCATGTAGGTCTGTAGGGATCCTAGATGGGGACGATGCTATGAAAGTTACAGTGAGGATCCCAAGATAGTTCAAGATATGACAGACATTATTCTTGGGTTACAAGGTGAAATTCCAAATGGCTCGAGAAAAGGTGTTCCTTACATTGCGGGGAAGTATGTACTGCATATATCTACAATTCATGCATGCCTAGTTTTTGGCATATAAGCTTGACTTTTGTAAAACTTGTAGTTATTTTTGTCTTCTCCTTTTTCATATATAAATGAGAACTAATCAAATGATATTAGTAATTAAATGACTAGTCATTCTTGCTTACTGCTAGTTAAAGAGTAACGATAATGGTGCTACACAGGCAGACATAACAGTAGTAATTTTTTTTACTGTAACTGATATTTTTCTTTTCATTGTTTTTCCCTTTCTGATCTGAATGTAATATTAAGGACCAATTCTGCAGAAACTGCTGCTATTGCCCCAAACATGAGTGGTTTATAATTTACACCATTGTTCTAGGAACAAGGTAGCAGCTTGTGCAAAGCACTTTGTTGGTGATGGTGGAACAACAAAAGGGATTAATGAATACAATACAGTGACTGATTTGCATGGCCTGCTTAGCCTTCACATGCCTGCTTATTATGACTCTATCATTAAGGGTGTCTCCACAGTCATGGTTTCTTACTCCAGCTGGAACGGCATAAAGATGCATGCAAACCGTGAGTTAGTCACCGGATTTTTGAAGGGTAAACTTAAGTTCAAGGTTTGTGTTCTGTCTTCTCTTATGTTCACATTGAAATGCTTTGCAACCTTGAAAGAGGTTTTTAACTGTGTGATAAGTTGGAAAAAACTATGATGTATATAGTTGTGTCACATACTATCCAACTTCCACAGCAATCCTTTCAGATAAATATTTATACTTTTTTTCCCTTTTGTATGCCTAATATCAATTATTTGTTGCATTATTTGCTTCTGCTCCAATTTTTGGAATCCTTATGCCGATTTAATTTGAAAACTTTGTGAAACTTTTACTAGTCAATTTAACTATGCAAATTTGTGTGGTTTTCGTATATCAGGGTTTTGTTATTTCAGACTGGCAGGGCATCGATCGGATCACCTCTCCTCCACATTCCAACTATACATACTCCATTCTAGCTGGTGTTCATGCTGGCATCGATATGGTGGTGTATCTTTCTTTGCTGGAAAAAAAAAAAAAAAAAAAATCACCTTTTCCACTCTAGCAGATTCCAACAGTTTTTCCCTTCTCTAAGTTCAGTTTCATCTAAGGTGGAATCATTTTTGGTTTTCACAGTTTATGCTGCCATTCAACTTCACTGAGTTCATTAATGACCTCACTTATCTGGTGAAGAACAACTTTATCACAATGGATCGTATTGATGATGCTGTTGAGAGAATTTTGCTCGTCAAGTTCAAATTGGGTCTCTTCGAAAACCCTCTTGCTGATCTTAGTTTTGTCAATGAGGTCGGGAGCCAGGTAGGTTAACTAAGAACCATCACCATCAGTGTGTGTACACTGAATGTCGAATACTTGATTTAACTATAGCCCATCTTTAAGTCGTCAAACTTTTTACTAGCTAGCATTGTAAAAAATGATGTCGAGACATTTGATATTAACAGGCACACAGAAATCTAGCTAGGGAAGCAGTAAGGAAATCGCTTGTTCTGCTGAAAAATGGCCAAACTGCAAATGAGACATTGCTACCTTTGCCCAAGAAAGCATCTAAAATTCTAATTACTGGTAGTCACGCTGACAACTTGGGTTACCAGTGTGGTGGATGGACAATAGCTTGGCAGGGATTTAGAGGAAATAATGGGACAAGTGGTAGGTACTTTTTATTGTTTGTGTATATATAAAAAGTAAGTTCTTCACACAGGACCGATTTGCTAATTGAGTATCTGATCCAGCGTTATTGCTAGTTTTCAGAGTATATAATGTCTTTCTAAACTAGCAAGAAATCGAAAAAGTCCTGATAAAACTTGTCCTGGGCTACCAATATTATTTATCAAAATAGTAACACTAGATTGTTCCGTTGTGCCTTCATTTTGAACCAAATTATGGTTGGCTTATTACTTCATCAAAGCGTCAAGAAACTGCCTCAGTTTACATGATATGAAATTCTAATCCTTTTCATTCATTGGCACTTCATTATCATCAGTGTCCATATGCCTGGTTGTTTGTTTTACTTGGATTATTTCCAGTACTAAATTTCAAGTCCTTGTGTCTGATGTTGCTAGAGGTTGAATTACTAGCCACATTTTTTTCTGTCTGTTGCACTTCTCATTAACATATTTGTATCTCCCAAAAAAAGGTTTTATTTTCCGCTTCTTCTTCCTTCAAAAATGAGGTTTGACGCGTTTCTTTACAGGGACAACCATCCTTGGTGCTGTTAATTCAGCCGTCGATAAGGACACACAAGTCAAATACCTCGAGAATCCCGACAGTGAATATCTCAAGTCTAACCACTTTGACTACGCAATTGTGGTTGTGGGTGAGTACCCTTATACGGAGACTGTTGGGGACAATGAAAACCTCAAGATGGCTGATCCCGGGCCTGATGTCATAAAAAATGTCTGCTCAGTTCTGAAATGTGTTGTGGTCCTCATATCCGGTCGGCCAATCGTGATCGAGCCCTATATATCAGCAATAGATGCTCTTGTGGCAGCCTGGTTACCCGGCACCGAAGGCCAGGGGGTGACTGATGTGCTCTTTGGAGACTACGCTTTCACCGGAAAACTCCCACGGACTTGGTTCAGAACTGTGGACCAACTCCCGATGAATGTTGGTGATTTACATTATGACCCGCTTTTTCCATTTGGATTTGGGCTCACAACAAAGATGGTGGTTGCAAGGTAACAGAGAAATGCTTGGATATAAGATGTTTTGATTTTTTTTTGGATTTTTTAGTTCTGTACGGTTATTTTTGAAAAAGGTGGTATAGTTAGTTACTAGTGGAATTTTGAGTTTATATTAAAATAATATATATAAAAAATAATTAAAGTTGATTTGATGTAAAAGTATGAGAGAGATGATGTGAAGTGGTGGTAATTAAAGTTGATATAATGTGTAAGAATGATTGAGTGATATTATTTAATTACATTGATAATATTAAGGAAAGTGGGGTTGAACTAAAGTTGAGTTAGATGTTAAAAAAAGTGATTGGTTAAAAATGATCGGACTTTTTTTTTTTTTTTTTTTTGAAAAAAAATTGTGTACGAGCATAAAGTTTTGCATGGAAATTATACATGGCCTGAATATTCAAGTCTTTTATTTATGGATTTGTGAATTGCTTACTTTTCTCTTTTTGGGACTTGTGTGTGCAACTCAACTCAACTGCAGCCTGGTATATTTGCAAGTAATGTGTCCTCATGTTGATGAATATCTGGATTAAGTCAAATTACATGGGAAATAAACTATTGCATCTGTTAAATTTTCAATTAGAAAGGCTGTATTAGTCCAATTTATTTTCCTTTTTTTTTTTTTTTTTTTTAAATCTTTTTTCTCTTCTTTACCTTTTTATCCTCAAACAAACTCCACAAATTTCATTTATCTATTACACTTATAATGGACATTATTTATGGAAGTTCTTGTTGCTAACTGCAGGTCAGTATCAGCTGGTGTCGACCGGAGGCCATACGTAGCTATCATCATGATTTTCGTGTTCTTTGGTTTGTATTTTCAAGGTAAATTTTAGCTTTGGAAGTAATGGAATTCGATACACGAGCATCACTTTACAGAACTTCACCTGGTAATGTACATATCCATGGCACGAATATGTGGAAAGCTTGATTTGAACAAATTAGGAAGAATTCGGAGATAAATTCAGTTTATGCCTGACTACTAGTTTGATTATCTCGACGCACTTTTTTTTCTCCCTTTGTTAAACAGTTTTTTCTACACATTGCCTGTGATTTGTCAACTATTGAACTAGCTCGCTAGCCGGCAATTTAATAACAGAGCCAGTGACCATTTAAGGAGAATGTATTTAAGAATAATGTGGTTGTGTTTTTAATTTCATGGTCCCTATTTCTTGTAAAATATATTGATTTTTCGTTTACCTTTGATGTTTTCTTTCAAAACACTCGCATAAACAGTTAGGAGGAATTTACCAAGGTCGAATGTGTGCCTCTATCCTAGACGGCTTTGCTCTTATCTGTTATATCATCTCCAGAATAGCACGGAGACAAGAGGACGACGGCAAATCCAATTGCAGACGCTATAGCCATTTTTTACTTGTGGATGTTTAAAAACGGAACAAGAACTACCATTCTCAAGTATCCTCCTCACAATGAGATAATTTTTCACCAAAAAGAGTTTTTATTTTTTCGTGATATATTTCACATCATCTTCGTTAGTTCATTCAATCTTTGACGGGTGTTACTATTCACCGCATTCTTTGGACAATTTTGCTATTGTCATTTTTTCCAAAAAGTAAGAAAAAAAAAAACTTTGGCGTGGCCAGCTGCCAAAACCGGCTGCCACCGTACACGGCTGCACTTGTCGGCGGGCTGCACTGCGCACGGCATCAATTTCCGGTCGACGGTTTTTTATTATTATTACTTAGAAAAAAGAATATTTATTATCGAAATTATGTTAGAATTTTAAAAATTATTATGTTATAAAATAGAATTTATTATTATTATTATGTTATAATTTAGAAAATATTATGCCAATTTTTTCAAAATTAAGCCCCTTGCCTCATAAATGAGTTCCATCAGTTCTATCACGTCCCGTGGGCATTACCTTCTCAAAAGTCTTGCCGTCAAATTACACCATAATATCAACGTGTACTTATATAGGTGTGTGCGCATATATATGATCTAACGGCTAAAAGGCATTCTTGTGTACAAATATATCAGCTCAAAACATGTTTTTTTGGTCGACCGTGGTTAATTTTGAAAAAAGTTTGTATGATTAGTTGTTAGTGAGATTTTGAATTTATATTAAAATAATATTTAAAATAAAATAATTAAAGTTGATATGACGTAAAAGTAGGAGATAGATGATTTAAATTGATTAACTAAAATTATGTAAGTGGATATATAGCGAATTAAAATTTACGTGATGTGTAATAATCACTGATTGATATTATATAATTATACTGATAACTAGTACAACGCCCGTGTATTACACGGGTGCTTGATTATTTTTTTTCTTAAAATCTAAAATAATAAGAAAAAGTAATTGAAAATTTAAATACCTTTTATAAAAATATATATATATTATTATATATTTAGTATGACATTTTTTATTTGTGCGAGTTACCTGTGTTATATTATAATAACTTTTTTAACTTATAAATATAACTACATTAAGCATAAATATATCAATTGAGAAATAATTTTATTTTTTTATGAATTTTAATAAATATTATTATTTTTTATTATTATAAAGATAAATATAATTTATTTATTTCATATTATTATAAAGATAAATATAATTTTTTATTATTTATTTAAGTCACAACCAAAGTTGATGTTGATCTATTGACACAGGACCCCCCGAATTCTCCCTATATATAAATGCTAAGTTTTTGAATTTTATGTTTCAATTTTTTATTCTTCTTAACTCTATCTATCGATTTTGGTGTTTTGGTATTGTCCATATAGATAGATACATACTTCTATCCATGTGTGACTCTTGTAAATATAAAATACGTTAATTATAAATATATTTTAATAGTTGATAACTTTCATATTTGGTATCAAACTAGTACAACACCCGTGTATTACACGGGTGCTTGTTAAAAAATTATTCTTAAATTTTAAAATTAATGAGAAAACTATATTAAATTTAGTTTACTTTTTTTACAAAAAAAATATATTACTATATATTTTGGAATGATATGTGTTACTTATAACTTACATGTGTTATATTATATTAGTTTTTATAACTTATATCATATAACTACTTGAAATATAAATATATTAGTTGATAAATAATTTTATTGTTTTAATTGATATTAAAAGTAATTTTATTATTGTTATAAAGATAAATATAAATTATTTTTTTTATACATACAATATGGATGTTAAATCGAAGCTCATCAAAAGAAGATTAATTTGATATATTACATATGTAAAACTGATAAAAAAATACAAAAATTATTAACTGTTAAAATATATATACAATTCAATAGTTATAATAAGGAATGATATTAAAATACAATTAATACATGTAACATAACCATAAATAATCAACATATTTATGGTAATCCGAACCTAATTATTTTTTGTTTGGAACTAAATTAAAATTTACCCAAGTCTAATAACGAAGCATGTAATTTTGCCACATAAGATTCCAAAGCACCAGAAGCAGCCACGTAGGCTCAGCGCGTTCTGTATTAATATATAGGGGGATTTCATATATGACATATCAAATTAATCATCCCTTGACAATATTCGATTTGATATTTGTATTGCATATATTAACAACATATATTTACCTTTATATTAAAAGTTAAATTATCTATCAATAATAATAATAATAATAATCAATTAATTTTTTTTTATCAAGTTCATCATATAATATGAATTAGAAAAATTACTATAACACACTATGGGTAAATGTATAAGTGATAAATCTCAATATATATATATA